CACCCTGCACAAAAATCAACTCTAAGTGTATTAAAGATTTAGGAAACCGACAAGAAAAGGTAGGTACAGCACTTCAACATATTGACAAAGAACTGACTTCCTGAATAAGACTCCTAAAGCACAAGAAATAAAACAAAACAAAAAAAATCAATAAACGTGATGGCATCAAACTAAAAAGCTTCTTCACAGAAAAAGAAACAATCAAGAGTACGAAGAGAGAGCCTACAGAATGGGAGAAAATCTTTACCATCGGCTCCTCAAGAGAAGGTGTTAATTTCCAGGATATACAAAGAACTCAAAAAGCTTTACACCAAAGAACCAAAGAACCCAATCAAGGAGTGGGCAAAAGACCTGAACAGACCCTGTCCTATAATTCTTGAGGACAGAAAGCATGTAACTAATGATGATGAATAAAATTACATACTTCTATACTACAATCATTACAAAGGCACTCATCATCTCTGTATTGAGAGACATCTCAACTACAATGGATCAAGGCAATCAATCAGCTCAGGGTCTGCCTCTCTGGCTGCCCTTTTATTGGGAGAGGAACTCAGGAGGGTGAAGTGTAAAGGAAGTGCTAAATGGTGAGAGGAATGGAGAAAGAAGAGGGAGTACGTGTGTACCTGCACATGGGTACCTGCACATGTGTTCATCAAAATGACGGTAATTGTCAAAGCAAAGGAGGTCCCTTTGTCCCCTCTCCATTGAAAAGGCTCACTTTAGGACATGGACATTGAAACTGATATCATGTAGAAAAATGTTCTGGCATGAAGCAGGCTTCAAGGGCCCATAGAATAGAGGATGAATGTCACCCCGGGCTTATGTGATGTATCAGGGCCACAGGAAGCCAATACACAATGCTGATACAAGGACACACATCCCCTCAGACAGCCATATTTCTAGTATTCTAATTAAGAAAGGAAATGATTAGAATAAATGCTTAGATTAGTCAGTGTTTTGGGTGTGGGGTACTGGGAATTGAACCTGGGGGTGCTCTACCACTGAGCTCCATCCCATCTTCCTGCTTTTTAAAAAAATTTTGAGACCAGGTATCGCTAAATTGTCCAGCTTAACTCAATCTTGCAATACTCCTGCCTCAGCCACCCAAGTAGGTGGAATTACCGGCGTGCACCACCATGCCCTGCTAGATCAATAATCTTACAATGAATTAAAAATTATTGGAAAAAGAAAGTGAATTATTATAATCTAGAAATTCTACTTTTTTGTATTTGCCATAAAATAGAGATATATGATTACTCAACCATAAAGAAAAATGAAATTATGGAATTTGCTGGTAATTGGATGGAACTAGAGGTTAACATGCTAAGTGAAATAAGCCAATCCCTAAAATCCAAAGGCCAAATGCTCTCTCTGATATGCAGATGATAAACCACAATAAGGGGGGATGGAATGTAGAAGTTCATTGGATTAGACAATGAAGGGAATGAAGGGAAGGGAGAGGGAATGGGAATAAGAAAGACAGTAGAATGAATCAGACACAATATTGACAAAACACAGCTAGTGTAACTCCACATCTTGTACAACCACAAGAATGTGAAGTTATACTCCATGTATGTATAATATGTCAAAATACACTCTACAGTCATGTACATCTAAAAAGAGCATATAAAAAGGGGGAAGAAACAGAGATATGACTATTTAAACATCAGATTAAAACATATGATTAGGGCTGGGGATGTGGTTCAAGCGGTAGCGCGCTCGCCTGGCATGCGTGCAGCCCAGGTTAGATCCTCAGCACCACATACAAACAAAGATGTTGTGTCCGCCGAAAACTAAAAAAATAAATATTAAAATTCTCTCTCTCTCAAAAAAAAATGTTAAAAAAAATGATTAGATTTACTAACACAATTTTAATGGTAAAATATACAGATATTATTTGAGCATGCAAAACTATGAGACCAACCATCAAAAATGTCACAAAAAATTATTGCATTATCTGAAAACAGTTAAGTGACCACATACTATGTACAAGATGACCTAAACTTCATGACTATAGAGCATCAAGAGTTTCCAATAGCAGATAGTAATTGAGGCACTCAACCCCCACAACTCAGCCACAATTACACAGAATAGAGACTGTCTCCCCACCTCTGCCCAGCCTCACATCATCAGACTGAAGCAGGCTGGAGTGAATATCTTTGGAAAGGAGAGAACATAGTGAGTGAAGAGGTTAGAGACACACAGGCAGCCCTGTGTCAGGAACCTGCGGGTAAGAAGACAAATCCCCAAATCCCCAGTGTTCTCCAGACCCAACAGAAATCCTATAAAAATTGTGTACCCATGTTCAGACAGAGAAACCCAGGTGCAAAGGGAATAGGTTACTAAGATATAAAAACAGGAGTGGGGAACTGAACTCTGATAATTTGACTCAAGAGCCTGAAATCTTAACCACATGCCAATTAGCTTCTGCATGAATAAATAGTAAAGGGAGATTAACACACGGAGATGCACACAAAATTTCATGATACCTACTAGAGGAAGAAAATATTAGTAATGGTATATACAATTTTACTAGGTCTAGCATGCTCCCTTAATTCCTCCTCCCCTTTATATCATGTTAAATGGCATCTGAATTTCCTAAGGGTGATGGAGTGATGTAGAACACACTGAATTCTGTGAGGAAATTGGATTACTATTTACTACAAGTTCCACTAAATCTTACTCACTGCTAGTAGTACAGAGAGATGCAACTGGTTTGAAATAAAAATGTGGCATTCTCTGTTGATTTTGAAGATACATAGCACTTTCATTCCTGGGGAAAATTTTTCTTTTTTTTTTTTTAAGCAAGCAGGAAGTAGGTTTATTGTAAAAGAGACAGAGATACAGATAGACTTCTCTGAAGAGAAGAAGGGACCCCAGAGCTGGGAATCCCCTGGGGAAATTTTTAACAGCATTGATTGTTAAAGCCAAGAGAGACAAACTGTAAAATGGGCAAATAATTAATGGTTTGTTCATGTAGCGGTATGTAATACAACTGCGAAAAATGAACTAGACATAAAAATACCCATGAATCTCAGCCACTTACAGAAGAACATACAGGATCTGATTCAATTCTCTAAAGTATAAAATGTGTAAGAAATTAAATAACATGTGGTTTATTGACACAAAACTTAATAGCAGAGTGATAGCCCAGAAAATTGAGTAGGCCCTTGAGCGGGGTGGAAAGAAAATGAGGTGGGCGGGCTCTCCAAGCTTCTAAAGTACTGGCACGATTCTATTTCATAAAATAGGTGGGCAGTACATATCTGCTTGACAGGCTGCCACAGCTCCACATCTTACAAAGGTACTCATCGGTGGTATTATTTTGTGTAGCCATGTGGTTTTCAACAAATTTAGGAAGTCAAATGTTCTCTGTGAAGGAGGATTTTTTTAAATATTGGTAATTTGGCACACCGTTCAGCACTTTTGCCACTGTCTTGAAGGTTTCCAGTTTTAAAATCGATTTTCCAAGACTGAGGAATATTTTTACATTATTCTCTGCATCTCTTAATATATTTGAAGCTAGTTATTCTTTTTAAAACAAATTTTGTAGTAGTATATGGACAGTATGCTTTTATTTTATTTATTTTTAATCCAGTGCTAAGGATCCAACCCAGTGCCTTAGGTGTGCTAGGCAAATACTCTGCCACTGAGTTATAGCTCCAGCCCTGCAGTGAGTTATTCTTGGTCTGGGTTACTTATGCTAGCATAAAAGGTAAAAAAATGAAGTCTCAAAAATTATTCTGGTATTTCTTTTATTAATGTCATTTATTTTTGTCATTGTTGTTATAAAAGCAATGGAAATCATTAGTGAAAAAAATCAGAAAATGTAGTCAAAGTAAAAAAAAAAAGACAACAACACTAATCATCCCACCATCCAAAGTGTAAAAATCTTTTCAGATGATTTTTACTGCTGTTTGAGTTAATATAATTGTGGAGAAGTGCCAGGGAATGAAAGCTATCAAATTATGCTATGTCCATGTACAAATATACTACAATGATTTCTGTTTATATAAATCATTATAGTGCACTAATTTAAATAATAACAAAAATGATGATGATAATAATAGAAAGGAAATTAATAAAGCAAATGGATCAGGGGAGGGAGCAGAAAAGAGAAAGTTTCTCAGGAATAAGACTGATAAAATTATGTTATGTGCATGTACAAACACATCATAATGAATACCACCATCATGTAAATTATATTGTACCAATAAAAAATAAATATATATGGGCTGGGGTTGTGTCTCAGCTGTAGAGCACTCACCTGGCACTTTTGAGGCCCTGGGTTCGATCCTCAGCACCACATAAAAATAAATAAAAATAAAGGTATTGTGTCCAACTACAACTAAAAAATAAATATTTAAATAAATATATGAATATATAATAAAGCACTATATATATAAAAAAGATATATACATATAATTATGGGAAGAGTGGTTATTTTTATAATGCATGTTCTATCAGCTTCCATAATTTATTTAGTCAACCTAAATAAAAAGGAAGAAAACTTTTAAATCCACCCCCTCTTTTTTTCTCTGTATCCTAACAGATTTATAAAATAATTCAGTTGGTTCCCCAAGTCAGGAAAAAAATAGAGCCCAAGTAGAGAATAGTATTGTTAAAAGTGTCAACTCCAATCAATTACTGATTTGGTTGCATGAGCTCTGTTTTGAGGCACTTTATGAAAAGCTGTGACTTCTCGGTGGTATGGAGGTCTCAGGAGACGGAAACTGTGTGGGAGCACTCAGGACCTTCCTCCAGTGTCTGCCATCCCAGTCTCCAGGGCCTCTGCTTATGTGTGACATTCCTCTGATACCTCTTGTTCTCTGGCTGGTGCTCTAGGATACTCACTACCATAGTCTGCACTACTTTTTTTGCCTCTGTCCTTCGTAGCCTATTTTGAAAGGTACCTCGATTACTCTGATAAATAGAGAAAGCTTGTATAACTTGAGATCTTTAAGGCACCAAGCTTGCCTGGAAGTGGAAAAACTTACCCTTAAAATATCATAATGGATGCCAGGAAATCTGCTATGGACAGTAGCATTTGAAGTTTTAATGACTTAATTGGCATACTGTGCATTGCATCCTATCAAGAATTCCCCAGGAAGAACGTGGGAAAAGAAAGCAGCTGGGCCGCCATTCAGTGCTCATGCAGGTGACTATAGATGTTCATTTTTATGTCAGTTCTATGATGGCGAGAAGAGGAAAACAAACTGAAAAGAAATTACAGAGTATGGAATTGGATCAGCATCTCATGTATTAAATCACAATAAAATAGGAGACATCGCATCACACGTGTGCATTTTTATAAACTCTCCCAGTTACTCCAAGCCCAATAACATAATTTGGTTTATTTCAATTGTAAAGTGTTTCAGTAGAATAGGTCTGGGCTCTAGGAAGGCTCCATTACCAAAAGGAAGGTTATTGGTTCCTGAAACAACATAAACTTTGCTAGAAACCATTTACCTAACTCTGATCCATCCACGTTGTTACCACATGCTCAAAAGATTCTCCTTAATTGATTGCCCAAGACTTCTCATGTGTGCTTCAAGAGGGCAACTTGGTATAGTAGCAAGAGCAGGAACTTTAAAATTTCTATACATCTTTAATTCTTGGTTCTTACATTCACTAGCTACTTGGCCTTGGGCACATGACTTGGCCACTCTGACTCTTGTCTGTAAAATAAAGACAGAATGCCTACCTTGCAGGAATGCTGTGAGGAGAAACAGGATAACATGTGAATATCACCTTGCACACTGGCAAGTTTAAGGAATGCCAGCCATGCCACTTTTGCCAGGGAAATAATAATCTAAGATTTCATACGTGAATGGCTAGTTATTTCCACTTCAAAAGTTTCTATGGATTTTGAGACTATTTTCCCACAGCCTCCTTTTTCCAGCTTTAGGACACATTTTAAATTCATTCCTTTACAAGACTGCCTCTAAATATTTTGTAATCCTCTGGCCCGTTAGCTCTTCCACATGGTATGATCACAACAAGAGCAGAGAGTACTGATCTCGGACACACCATGGCTTGTCCACACAGAGTCAGAACTGAAGCCAACCGAGGAGCTGGGACTATGCACAGTGTTAGTAGTCATTCAAGCAGAAGTAGTTGAGGCTTGGAGGAAATGTTCATTTCTAGGGCATTGGGACAGGTAAGCTAGGCAGAGACTGATTTGGCCCTTCAGTGACCAAAAAAAAAAAGAAAAATTTCAACCTTAAATCTATCACCTGCTTCTGATCTGGGTAACCCTCAGCCCTCAGACTGAAACAACTCAGAGGCGCAGAAAATCTTGGAGTGTCAGAAAGAAGATGGAGATAGGAGAAGTAGGAAGTCTTTAGGCTTCTCTTTTCATCCTACAAGATGAATCCCTAAAACTTCAGGAGACAGAAAAGTCAGAAATTCTCCCTCAATCTCAGGCAAACCACTATACTATCAATGGGAAGCCTCTAAGGTATGACAGTCTTTAATGGCCACTGTTCCAATATACTACAGTGTAAGGCAGACACCCACCCTCACTTAGAATGAAGCCCTTTATATTTTATAAAGTCCTTTTGCATACATACTTTATGTCATTTTAATAACCAAATTAGGCAAGTGATATCTCCTCACATTTCATTAAGTCAGAAAGTAAAGGCTTCTAATTCCACAGAGAATTCTTTTCCACTGGGCCATAGCTACTTCATTCCACTCCTTATTCATTCCAATCACCTGACCTCCTGGTCTGCATCTCAAAACCATCATCTTCAGAAAACACCCACCACAAATAGACATACAACTGGACAACCACAGCAAACCAGTTTAGAGTTTTGATGGGCATATAGAAATAGTTCACACAAGAGACAATACAAATAAACATGAACTTGGAACCAGAATGCTTGGGTTCAAATCCTCATTTCTCCACTTAGCTAAGTAACTGTGGCAAGGTACCTTCCTTCTGTATTTAAGTTTCTTTATCTTTCAGATGGAGATATTAGTATCCAAATCACAAAGTTGTTGAGAAGAACCACATAAGTTAATGTGTATAGAACACTTAGACAATGCTTGTTGTTTGGCATAAACTACAAGTGTAAGTTAGCTCATATTACTAAATTGGCAAACCAACTTTCTTTTTTTTATTCTTATGATTTTTATTAGTGCATTATAATTAAAGATAATGGTGGGGTTTGTAGAGATATGCTCATAAGAGCCCATAAGTGCTCCATTCATTTTTTTTTTTAATTTTTATTGTTGGTTGTTCAAAACATTACATAGTTCTTGATATATCATATTTCACACTTTGATTCAAGTGGGTTATGAACTCCCATTTTTACCCCGTATACAGATTGCAGAATCACATCAGTTACACATCCATTGATTTACATATTGCCATACTAGTGTCTGTTGTATTCTGCTGCCTTTCCTATCCTCTACTATCCCCCCTCCCCTCCCCTCCCCTCCCCTCTTCTCTCTCTACCCCCTCTACTGTCATTCATTTCTCCCCCTTGTATTATTTTTCCCTTTCCCCTCACTTCCTCTTGTATGTAATTTTGTATAACCCTGAGGGTCTCCTTCCATTTCCATGCAATTTCCCTTCTCTCTCCCACCTCTCATCCCTGTTTAATGTTAATCTTCTTCTCCTGCTCTTCGTCCCTACTCTGTTCTTAGTTACTCTCCTTATATCAAAGGAGATAATCCATTATATCCATTCATTCCTGAGTTTCGACACTTTTTTTTACCCTTCTCCCTCCCCCTAACCTCTTTCATCTACTGGTTTCCCTTCTACTTATTTTTTAATTGATGCATTATAAACTAACATAAAAATGGGATTCATTGTGACATAGCCAAACATGCATATGGCATTGTTTTGGCAAATCAACTTTCTCACTCAAGGATTGCAGGCGCTACAACAAAGGAGAAATAGAAATATCCACTTCATTCTGAAGTAGTGTTTTATTCCCAGCAGGGATCACCATCATTTTTCTCATTTTGTAGATTTTTCAGACAATTTATGAAAATACATTTTTTAAAAAAAATCTCTATGGTATAGTTCGTACTTGAAGCAGAATAAGCAATTTCAGCTACCTTAAGCCGATCATCTATTGCTAGCTCATAGTTAAGACCTTTCACACCCTCCAAAATAATAATTTAAATCTCTTAAACTCATCAGCACAGGTATCCAAGTCCTTCTGAAGCAGAATTCTCTCACATTGAACCTTCATCTTAACACAGAAAAGATCAACCTCTAAGAGGCATACAATCCACCAATTATATGCCCACCCTTCTTCATATCGAATGTCTATCAAATGCCAGGCATAGTCCTGGCCTTGAGGAATAACATGTTAAACTGTACAGACACAGTCCCTTCTATCATAGAACTTTAAAATTGTGAGAATCGTGTGCTTTTCAATACAGTAACTACTGACCTCATGTGACTATTTGAATGTCAAACTCATTAAAATTAAATGAAAATGAAAAATTTTCCTCATTTCTACAATCCACATTTCCAGTGATTGACAGCTATAAGTTCCTAGTTACTCCTTTACTGGACAGTACAGAGAAGGGATAGCTCTAACCGTGTAGAAATTTCTCTCGGTTATTGCTGATCTAGAGGAAGACCAAAGTAAATAAACAGGCAACGAGAGCATGGCATGCACATTAGCTTTCTATTACTGTAACAAAATGTCTGAGATGATCACATTATAAGATGGAAAGTTTTATTTTGGCTCACGGTTTTGCAGGTTTCAGTCCACTGATTTGGGCCTGTGGCAGCAAATTATATCATAGCAGGAACATGTGGTAGGGTGAGCCTGTTGGCTTCATGGCGGCTAGGAGTAAAAGAGGGAGGAAGAAGCAGTGGTAGCAATATCACCTACAAGGGCACACCCCCTAGTGACCCAACTTCCTTCTACTTCCACGGCCCCAGCCCTTAAAGGTTCCTCCACTTTGCAACAGTGCCACAGGCTGGTGACCAAGCCCGTCATACATGGATTTCTGGGATAACGCTCATCCCAACCACAGCAGTGTGAATATGATTTGATGCAGAAACACAGGAGGCTAAGAGAAAAAACCTCTAATGCAGACTCAAGAGGGAGAGGGGGATCGGGGAAAATTTCTTAGTGATATTGAAACCAAGACATAAAACAGCAACTTCCCTGTTGCAAAAGTTGCGCAAGCCGTTTTCAGAATGTAGGCATAGAACTCTAGGCCCTGATCTAAAATGACCTTGAGTGCCTGGTGGAACCAAAAGTTCCTGAGGTGGAGAACCTGGGGAATGAGAACAGGACCTCGAGGAATAAGATTAGAGGTGAGGGTTGCTGTCAGGAGTTGCAAGACAAACCAGAATCACTCACAAGTTCTGCCTGCACAGGCACACCGGGTGTGGACTATTATACCCAGACTCCCGGTTACATTCAATGAGCCTTCTATTTACTCTTACCCTGGGAGCTTAAATTCCTTTGCCATTAGTCAAGTGGGAAGACAGATTGGAGCATGTCTCCTATCTCCTTGTGAGTAGACCTTTTCATAATCACTGCCTAACAATTATACAAAAAAGTGTGATTCATTGTGATATATTCATATAAGCAAATCACATAATTTAGTTTATTTCATTCCCTAGTACCTTCCCTTTCTCCTCCTCCCTCCCCTCATTCTCTTCTTCTCCTCTATTTTATTTTTATGAAATGTCATATTTTTCCCTTTTTATCTCTTGCTTCCACATCTGAGAGAAAACATACAATCCTTGACTTTCTGAATCTGGCTTATTTCACTTAACATGATGTTTCCCCATTCCATCCATTAAACAGCAAACAACATGATTTCATTCTTTTCCATGGCTGAATAAAACTCCATTGTATATAAATACCACAATTTCTTTATCCATTCGTCTGTGCCAGGCACCTGAGCCGTTTCCATAACTTGGTTACTGGAATTGTGCTGCTATAAACATTGCTATGCATATATCACTATGGTATGATGACTTTAGTTCTTTTAGATAAATACTGAGGAATGGTATTGTTGTGGGGCAGGTCGCTCAGAAAATACATCAAATCCCAGTTCATCCAAATTGAAGAGTCTTTATTTACGTGGCTGGCTGGAGACTGGCCCCCACAGGACCCATAACTGTCTCTGCAAGGAACAGCCTCAGCCTGAGCATTTTAGGATATTTAAAGGCAAAAACCGTATCTGGTCTGACACAGCTGCAAGCAAGCCGGTACAGAAGCTAAATTGGGCAGTTAGCAAGACAATGCAGTAGGCACCTTGGTATTTCCCACGGGATTTTCCAGGTTGGCACAGCAGCAAGCAAGCAGAAGGAAAGTGGGTCAAAATGACCCTAGTTCAGTACACGTTAGAGAATGGTTACTAATGTCTACACAATCAGTCTCTGACAAGGTACATTGCCCAAGAAAAATGGAAACCAAAGAGAACAATTTCACATTATATAAGAATCGCTCATTTGTGTTGCCAAGTATGTTGTGCTAGGTAACTATTAATGCGTACAGAGGTGGGGCTTTCCCATAGGAGAAGCATTTCTTACATGATATGGAGTCTCAGGGTAAAATGGAGTCTGTTTGGTCATTGCCCGTATAGCCGGCCCATAACAGTATAATTGGGTCATATATTGGTTCCATTCCTAGTCTTTAAAAGAACTTCCACACTGATCTCCACAGTGGTTATACTAATTTACAATTCCTCAAACACTGCTTAAATGTTCTTTTCCCCCAACATCCTCACCAACATTTATTATATGTATTCTTGATGTTTGCCATTCTAACTAGAGGTAAACCTTTAATAAATCTCTTTATTTTGGCAAAAACCCAGTGTCATAGTATTGGCTTTCATGTGAGTCAGGCAGTGAGCCCTGACTCAGTATCAGTCGTCTAACCTGAGACTTGTTTGTCTATTAAACATCTTCTGAGCACTTACAAGGTACCACCTGCCATGTACCACGTCCAGGAAATACAGAAGAATGATATAAGCAAGAGACTCCCACAGGCTCTTCTTCATAAAGCCTCAACAGAGGAGGACAATAAGCATGCTGTCTCAAGATGATTTGTGGTTAAGGTGAGTGCTACGGAGGAAAAGAATAGGTGACAGAGAGAGAGACTGCTTCAGCTGGCTTACAAGTCAGAACTCAGCTGAGTTCGGGAATCATAAATATATAACGACAGGAGCTTCATGGATTTGTGATTTTCCCCATCAGTGCTCAGTAACCCTGGAGAAGGTTCAAAACAGGCAGAGAGTCAAAGTCCTGCAACAGAAGGATGGCTGAACTGCGGAATTCAAGATGCAGGGAAGGGTCGTTGAAGTTCTGGACCATGGAATCCAAGTGCAACAGTAAAGCAGTGAAGGCAGGTTGGGCTAAGGTACACCAAGAAAATGGAAAAGTCAAACTGCAGATCTCAATGAGGCAGGAGAAAAAGGGCAGAGACAACTGGGGAACAGAACTGGAGGGAGAGATGGAGAAGCAGGTAGGATACGGTCAGAGCAAAATGTTCAAATTTTATTGTTCACATTAAAAAAAAAAAAAAAAAATCCTGAAAGTAGCTATAGCACCAGGTGGACAAAATGTTCTAGTAGTAAAAGGCAAGGTAGATTAAAAATCCCCAGGAGCAAGACTCTGACTCACACCATGATGCACAATTTGGAACACTCCCCACAGGTTGTCACAGACCTGCTTGACTGTTGTTTTTCCTCATAGAGACTACAGACCCATCATGCCACTCGGTGCCTGATTCTAGAGGCAGCTTCTTTCTTTTTTTTCAGGTCACCTGCTTGAACTGAGTGTGGGACCACAACCACACCTGTCTGGTGTCTGCTTGGATTAGCAGCAAGTCCCAGATTCCCTGGCTAGAACGTGTTCCTTGACCCTCTGGGCAGAGAGCTTTCTACAGCTCTGGCAGCTCTTCTGCAAGAGAAGAACAACTCTCTCCAGAACCTTCCCCTCTTCAGCTGCCTCACAGATCTCGCCTCTCTTCTCATTTGCTCTTCAATAGCCTCTCTACAGAACAGATTTGAAGCATTAAAAGAAATTGTAGGTGTAGTTTTCTCCTTTCAATTTCTTACAAATCATTCTCTCTCCCAGATTCGCCCACACCAACAAAAGGAGGATGTGAGAGGATTTCAAAAATAATTGCAGAAGCTATTTTGGAACCTCATTAAGCAATGAGGGCTGGCATAAAATCTGTTCTGGCTACTATTTCCCCCCAAGGATTGGAAACATATAGCTCTTTTCTCATCTTGAATTTTTTTTTTTTTAAACAGAGCTAAGGGGAAACCCTACCTGTTTTGTTTTGCAGAGATTTTCACCTTTCTCCAAGCAGGGGTTAGTATACATGTGGGTCCCGGTATTTAAATGTTAATGCTGCGTTGGGAGGATGAAGTGCCAATATTATTGTCTGCCTGTCAGGTGATCTGAAAAGCCCATGAGGAGAAGATAGAAAGAGACTATTCCAGCATAGGGCAACCAAGGCAGAGCCACAGTGACAAGAACAACTGGAGCAATACAGCACCTTACAGGCATGGACTCCACAGGGACTCCACGGCCACACTGCCCACGACTGTGGCCATAGCCAGTCATGGCTCTCATGTAGAACTGAATGTGCAGCTGAAGGGTTGAATATGACATTGTATTTAATTCAAAATTAAAACACATAGTTCATTTACCGGAAAATAAATATGATTGAAATGATGAATATATAAACCTACATCTTTAGCTGTAAATTTTGTGAAATGTAAACACAGATTAAGTATTTCTGATTAAATTTCATCATCAGAATTGAGACTAAAATATACAACATGTTTTGAAGATTTAGCACAAAAAAAATGTAAAATGCATTATTAATAAATTTGTGGTGATTGCATGTTGAAGTGATAACATTTTAGGTACAGAGTGTAATCCAACATTTTAAATTGACTTTGTTTGTTTTTACTTTTTTAATGTATCGACTAGAAAATTCACAATTGCATGTGTGCTCACAATATATTTCTGTTGAATAGTACTTTTCCAGAGCATGGACTACATGGGTTCACAATCTCAACCAATTTCTAGCTATGAAATAAGCTGAAATATATTTTCTTGGCCTGTTATTTTTTTTAAAAATGTCCAATAGTATCTACTCCATAGAATTAATGTGAGGTATAAGTGAATTATGAGTAATGCATATAATTAAAGAATAATCCATAGAACCTAGTGCACTCATTATATGCTACTATTATATTATTCTGTTTATAGTTGTCATGGTGAGGGGACAGCAAGATGCTAGATGAGAAAATGATATGTCAGAAAGAAAGAACTTTTGAGTCTGGGTGTGGTGGCTTAGGCCTATAATCCCAGCAGTTATGGAGGCTGAGGCAGGAGAATCATGAGTTCAAAGCCAGACTCAGCAACTTAGTGAGACCTCTCTCTAAATAAAATATAGGGCCGAGGGGCAGGGCTGGGGATGTAGCTCAGTGGTCAAGCACCTCTGGGCTCAAACCCCAGTACCAAAAACAAAACCCCTTCTCTTTTTTATGGAAGGTTCGTACCAAACATCCTCTTGGATCTGAATGAAAAATACCTAAACCTTGCTCCCAGGGTGGCCCTCGTATATTAGGACTCCAATGACATCTTCTCACATTCTGTGGGTCAAAAAGCTCTCTGTCATGTCCATACTTCTTACAAGAGTCCAAAGGTACTGCTAATGAAGAAGTACCCCCAATTTAATTTAGAAAGGAGCATTAATAAAGATGCGGCACTGAGCCAGAAGTGTGAAGTTGTTCTGCCACTGAAGGTCATCAGTATCTTGGGGCTGGGCTCTGTCACTCCACCAATTAAATAGGAATAACAGAAGGTGCTATCAGGAGGATTAAATAAGGTAGTAGGACAGAGAGAGCTCTGCAAACTACATAGCACTCTGCCAATGTCAATGCCTTCTACTTTTAGAAGCACTGTAGGAATAGCTTTCCTCCCAGATAAAACATGCTGTTGTTTCTGTGGGATTTTATAATTTAAGTCAAATTATTCCATCTTTATATCAATCTAAATTTCCTCCAAATTGTTCTGCTATTGTTTGGATATGAGATATCCCCCCAAAGCTCTTGTGTTAATGCAGGAGGTGCAATGATTAGATTTTGAGAACTGGAACCTCATTGGTAGACGGATCCATTTAATGGATAATTAATTTGAATAAACGAATTGGGTGGTAACTAGGGCAGGTGAGGAATGAATGGCTGGAGGAAGTCCCTGGGGGTGTAATCTTGAGGTTCATATTCTACCCTGGCTCCTTGGGAACGCGCTCTCTGTTCCCGGCTGCCGTGAGCCGTGTGGCTTTCCCCCACTATGCCCTTTCACTGTGATGCTCTGCCTCATCTGAGACCCAGAGCAATGGCATCACTAACCATGGACTGAACCTCCGAAACCATGAGCTGCAATAAACGTTTCCTTCTCTAAAGCTGCTCTTTTCGGGTATTTTGACTACAGCACTGAAAATCTAATACATGGTCTTATAATAAAATATTGAAATCCTATGCTATAACATTTCAGATACTCCTTTAGAAAATAAAAATGCAAAAGATATCCACTCACTTGAAGGATAAACTAGTAAAATTACTATAGGCTATTAACATTTCAGCTCTTTATACCTAGCCAGGCACTTGGAAAGTCTTTGAGGAAGTGGGTCAAATATCATGAAAATTTTCACTAGTTCTTACACTCATTCATTCAACAAATATATATGGCCAAGGAGATTACTGAAACAAGGGAGATTAGGATGTAGGGGGAAGTGGATGACTTGACTTAAATTAGGTAGTCAGACTGTGCTTCATTGAGAAGGTAAAGTTTAAGCAAAGATGTCAAGGATCTGATTAGGTAGGTATCTGGAAAGAGCATTACAGAAATACAAAACAACTTACATGAAAACTCCAAGCAGCGGCACACCCAAGACATCAAGGAACCACAGAGAACCTGCTGTGGTTGCAGAAGAGTAAGAGTAAGACCTTCTCTGGCTTCCGGCTTTAACTCTGAAGCAAACGAGAAGTCACACCTAGTCAATCTGCATTCAGAAACTGTCAAGTGGTCAGACAGAAAAATCCTTAAGAAAGGGTTATATGCAAGAAAGCAGTGTGCTGCGTGGGTGAAAGTGGGTAGAGTTTAGATTTTTTTTTTTTAAGTTATTAAATACTTGATAGTTCCTCCAATCTGGATTCCAAAAGCCTCTACTTTTCCTTCCAAACAGATGGCAGGTTTACTCAACATATGGGTGGAACCGACCACATATGACACATTTGGTCAACTTGCTGGCTCGTGAAATCAAGGAGGGATGAACCAGTAGCAACATCCAAAAAGAGATTATCCTTCAGTTCTTCAGAAGAGGAATAGGGGGAGTGACCATGGATCTTTAATTGAGGTAAAATAGATATCACATAAAATTTATATACCACATAATATTATTTTAGCCATTGGCAGCACTAAGCATGACATATTCACAATTCTGTGTATTCACCATTACTGTTTATTCCCAGAATGTCTCATCACTCCCAACTCCCTTGCATTTTAATGTTCATTCTGATCCTTTCCTTACCTCTCCCTTACACTTACCCAGTGTGGTCCATGAGGACCACATGGCTGACAAACTTCTGATCTGGATTCCGTGGCACCTCAGTGTCACCAAATACAACTCCTATTAATCTTCACTTTCTTTTTCTAAAACCTCCCATATGGTCTCAATGTGCCCAGTTTACAAGCAAACACAAAGAGAGAAAGATAAAACAAAGCAGTTCCTATATTCCCCATGCTTTCTGATAAATAGTAAATACCACGTAACACAGTACTAACCAAGCAAGTTGGCAGGGTGGGTCTTACAGGAAACTTTGTGAAAGGTGGGGTGGAGGCACAAAAGTCATCCTTCATCTACATTTTTGCATATCTACTTCTACTGCCTTGAAGAGAAGGTGAGAATGGCATTGAGAGAGCCATTTATGGTCCTGGGCTGTAAAGCACACACCAAGTATTACTGAGTAGATAGAAGTATCTATTCCAGATCTGAAAAAATTTGCAAAGCTATTGTACTAAGCCTGGGTGTTTTACATGTAAGAAACAATGAAACATTAGATCGAATGACTGTTTAAGCCAATGCTTTTGCTGTTGCTTCCTGTTCACTCAAGTCTGTTACTGTCCAGTGAATACAAGTCATAACTGCCACGGGCCCCCTTCATCCTTGGTTCTCCCCAACCCACCTCTCCTCCCTGACACACTCGCCCACACCAGCAGGAAGAACAGCTTTGCCTTTGAACTCTAGTTGTCAATCAGGTTCCTCCCATCTCTAGGAAGCTCCTTATACCTTTTCTTTCTGTAGAGTGTTACATCCTCTGGAATCGGTTAGGAAGCTGCAGAAAGTTATGCTTTTTATGGTGAAAAGAAATACCAACAAAAGTTCTTCCTCCTGAGGATTGAGCCATCTCCTCCCTTGACTTCAGAAGAAAGATGAGATACATGAAAGACAATGCAGAAAAGCAACAAAGTGTCATGCATAAGTAAGTACCCACTTTGTTTGATGGTTGTCCCTTTAACCAGATTCCCACAAAGTACTTTTCTTTAGCAGCCAAATATCTTTTAGGCATGAAAGATATTTGGCTGCTTTTAGGCTGGGGATGTGGCTCAAGCGGTGACGCACTCGCCTGGCATGCGCGGGGCACTGGGTTCAATCCTCAGCACCACATAGAAAATAGAATGAAGATGTTGTGTCCACCGAAAACTGAAGAATAAATATTTTTTTAAAAATTCTCTCTCTCTCTCTCTCTCTCTCTCTCTGTCTCTCTTTAAAAAAAAAAAAAATCCATACTACCTAATGCTTCTAAAAGTAAGCAAGTGCAGAGAAATCAAAGCAACACTGCTCCTCCTCCATGACAGAATAAGAGTACATTAGATGAGGCACAGATAATGCCATCAGGAAACATTACCAAAGACATTGAAATTAATTAAATTATGTTAGTCATTGTTTTAGCCAAGTTAAAAACAACAAATGGATCGCTGGGGATTCTGATAACTTGCAGGACATCCTGGAAAGCAATTCATATGTCATGTCAAGTCGTAATGAATAGTTATAATTTTGACATAATAATTGCACTCAAGGGATATAGCTTGTGAAACAGAGAAGATGTTCACATTACAGTTAAGTATAAAGAAAATGTGAAATGTTAATTTTTTTCTATTTAATATTATATCAAATATATTTAATATTATATTATTTTTCTATTTAATATTTATATCTAATATATTCTATTTTTTTCTTTTTTCTATTTATGATAGAAAAATTAAAGGTAAAGAGTCCTAATTCAATAAATAGTAAAGACAACTTGCTAGATTCCTTACGAAGCACTGAGATACAGTTCAGAAAGGGCAAATAAACGCCATGCTTGAATGGGACTTAGAATCTAGTGGGAAAAACAAATAAAAAGAGAGGTTAAGTGGTGATAATATCAATGAGAAAAGAAAGACAGGGAAAATAACTAAGACAAAATGATGGAGTCTGGAATTGAATTTAGGTCATTTGAACTGATAGTTTCCTTAATGTTTTACCAACTTGCTTCAAACAGATCTCCAAAGACTCAAGAAATGCACTGAGATCTACTACTCTAAATTGTCCATGGGGTGGGGAAAATTGTTATGTAGGAGTATGAAGAGGAGAGTGCTTCAGGCACTTGTCCAAGAGGGCAGGTAACTTTGCTAAGCCATGGAACCTACCTGACACTGACCAGCTTCTAGGACAAAGGTCAACATAGAGCCTGGGACCCTCCCTTCAGCCTCTTCTCTGATCTCTGAGCAGGTGGCTCAGACTAAGACCATGAACCTACTTTTACACAAACCCTATCTCTATCTCAGGAGCTATTCTATGGCATCTTACTGTGAGATCAAGAATCTGAGCTGCCACCAAACTTGGGTGTATAGCTATATGTTTATGTTTATATTAGAAGCACCATTTGTGCACAAAAGGTTTAAATTCTTTGTTCGATTAGTCCTTCTCACTGTGCCCTTACTATTTACCAACTCTGTTGTACTCAAAAGTGCCATTTTTAAAACTATGCATATTTCCATAGTTTTTAATGTAGCCCAGCTACTAACTTCAGATGCAGCTGTTTCCAACTTTGAAGCGAATTATCTAGGATGGCAAAGATAAATGTAAAGTATATCTTAGAGCAATAGTCAACCTACTGCCAGACCGTGAGAAGCTGCTTGATTAAGAGTAATCTGTTACCTTGATCAACTTTGCTGCCTCAAACCTGTTCACGTAAAATCAAAAAGTTAAAAGGACACCATGTCTCTCCCCCAATTCCTGCCCCTCCAGATTAAAGAAATGGAGCCTGTACCAAGCAGAATACTCTGGTAAAGCCCTTCAACAGATAAATATTGCTTTTTCCCTGGAGAAAGCAACATCTGTTCACATTGCTCTTTCTTTTCACACAGGTTCAGAAATTATAGCATCTAGAAAGCATTGAGAAGAGTTGGGGGTTGGGAGGGTGACGGACCCTTGGGGTCACACTCAGTTTCCCACCTAGGGAACCAGAGGTCCTCACCATAAAGTGTTCCGGCAGTGAGAGAGGCAGGTAGAATTTTGACAGCAACTCTCACTGGGGATAGTTCTCTTGTAATCTGGTAGTTAGCATCTACAATAAGCAGCAGGACAAGGCTCAGCCCAGTTAGCAACAAAGTCACGCTCCTTAAACACAAGCTCACAACAGTCACCACAGTGAGATCAGGTACAACTGGGCATGTTACTCTGCTCTTCAATGTCAGGTTGGACTGATGATCATTCTAATAGTAAAGTAGGCAGGAAATGAGGCCAAGGACAGCCCAGATCTCTCTGGAATATGCTGGCTAGGTAGAGAATTCTCCTTTTTTGAAGAGGCCAAAACAACCTGGCACAGGGCCTAATAAGATGCATTACAGAATAAAGCAAAAGAGACCTTGCTGTGTTTGGGAGCTAGATACAGGTGGTCCTTCTACAACACTGTGAATGTTCTAACTACCACAGAATTGTTCAGTCTGAAGTGGTTAGTTTTGTTATATGTAAAGAATATCTTAGAGCACTAGTCAACCTATTGCCAGACTGTGAGAAGCTACTTGATTAAGAGTAATCTATTACCTTGATCAACTTTGCTCAGACTAAGACCATGATCCTACTTCTACATAAACCCTATCTCTATCTCTGAAATGGAAAAAAATATATATAATGCGTGTTCCTCATTTGGAAATGGAAAACTTGCTCCTAAAAATTTACTTAAAAAGTGCTACACCTGGAAGCAATTTTCTGGCTTTAAGAAAATAACATGTCCCCACAAAATTTATGACATAAGATATATCTCTATATGTGTGTGTATTTACATATATATAAATTATACATGTATAGTATGTTAATGCAAGTATGAATATGTCACAATGAATCCTACTATTATATATAATTATAATGCACCAATAAAAATCATTTAAAAAGATTACTACCAATATATTTTCAAAAGAGGAAAGCAAACATAGAAAAATAAATATAATATGAAAATAAATAAGATAGTAACACATAATCCAAATGTATCAATTATCCCAGTACATGTAAACTAAACTCACAAGTTAAAACAGACAGACTGCATTAAAACACATTGCAGTTTTTGTGCTATTTATGAAAGATAGACCTAAAGCATAAAAATACTGATGAGCTGAAAAGGAAAAAAAATGTGAAGATATATTATATCAGTCAGATGATAACTGCAAACAGCTAGCACAGCTATATTAATATTAGTCAGAGAAGACTTTAAGACAAATAGCATCATTAAGGACAGAGTTGCTATACAATGATTAAATGTTAAAGTCACCAAAGCAAAATAACAATTCTAAACATGTATGCACCTCATTAAATAGAATCAACAGAAATAAATAAAAATAGATGGACCTCCATGAACAAATTGACAAATCTGCTATGATAGTGAAGAGACTATAGAACACTTATTTCAATAACTTATGATTCAAGCAGCTAAAAAAAATGTAGAAAAAAACATAGTGAAGTTGAACAACACAATTATCGACTCTGACAAACGGAATACTTAAAAAATATTTTTAATATATTCAATAGGTATAGAAAAGATATCTCAACAAACTTCATGGAACATTCAGCTAAGAATCTAATTTGTTCTCTTAACCTTAGGAAATTTAGCTATGGCTACAGGAATAGTGGAGTCCAATGTTGAATGAACTGAAATATATTTTCTGACATAATCAATTGAAGGAAATATAAATTAAAATATGTAATAGAAAAAAATGCAAAAGTCATATCTAAGTTTTGGAATGAAATTTTACCTACTAGGTTTTTTTTAAACTACAAGAATACTGTACAATAGAGTTTTGTACTCTGATGTTTTTAACCTAATGTTATATCATAGATGTTTTGTCATGCCATTATTCTTATCTTTCATCTAGGAACAGCTCTCCAGCTCCTAAGTTTCTCTCTCCTTCAGCCAGAAGTCAAAAGCCCTCTTCTAAATATAAAGTCCTATCAATAAGACACCTGCAGACCAACACACCCAGAACATCAGAATTCCTTTTAGACTCGGTCTGGGTCAACCCCCTGAACAATGTATTTTCATTCCTACCGCAGCCAAATGCATTTTCTTTTGTTAAGATCTCAGTTGCAGTAAAATAAAAGATGACTTCTGTTCCTTCAATCAACTGAAGTTTAGAATCAGACTGGCTACAGCTTTCTCTTTTCTGGGATATAGTCAATAGTCTTTCCACCACGGAAATCCATACCTACTACTTCTGATTAGCAACTAGAGCTACCCAGAGCTTTTTCTAGAAAACTTCCCTCGGGCCTTACCTCTCTGCAATCTCTTTGCACAGCAGCTGGGTCCTTAAGTCAGAGTTTCAGAGATGAGTAGGCATCTTACCCAGTAGAACCATACCTCGGATAGAGCTCATCACTCACTCATTAATGGCGGGACCTGAGGAGAGGTTTTGATAAATTACAAGGAAGAAGTGCCATTGGCTACTTTTGCTTGGAAGCTTGACAGCACTTATTCAACTGAGCGCCAAACACTGGGAAAGGGCCCAGTTGTTACGGGATTTAAAGACTCCACCCCAACGAAGTTCATTGCTTTCTGTTTCCTTTTTCACATAAGCCTGAACAATTTTTCTAATAACTCGAGATCTTGGCCAAAGAGGGTATAGGGAAGTGAAAGCCAAAAGCTCTTTTTTTTAAATTTTGTATCTGTTATGTTTTAGATATGAGGTGTCCCCAAAAAATACTCATGTGTGAGACAATGCAAAATGTTCAGAGGTGATGTGATTAGATTATGAGAGTTTCAACCTAATCAGTGGTTTAATCCAATGATGTGGATCAACTGGGCACGTAGAGTGTGGCTGGAGGATGTGGGTCCCTGGGGGCTCACCTTTGGGGTTTGTATGTTGTGCCTCTGCTGATTACTATGTCCTGAGCTGCTTTCCTCCTCCATGCCCTTCCACCATGATGCTGTGCCTCACCTCGGGTCCAGAGCTATGGAGCCATCTGACTATGAACTGAACCTCTGAAACCATGAGCTAAATAAACTTTTGTTCCTCTGTTTGGTTCTTGTCAGGTCTTTGGTTCCAGTAATTAAAAAAAAAAGAACTGACTAAAACAATAATTCCATGTTTCAAAGGAGTTTCAGAGTAGTGGAAAAAAAGAGAATGCAGTGGTCCCCTTATTTGAAGCCTTGCTCTCCTGGTTTCAGGCACCTTCAGTCAACCATTAACTTGTATCTACCCCCAGAAGATGGGCAAGTACAGTACAAGTAGAAATCCTGAGAAAGAGAACATATTCCCATAACCCTGATTTCAATGTATTGTTATGACTATTTTATTTTATGACTAGCTATTGTCTTCGTTAGCTTTGCAGCACTGTGACCAAAATGCCTGATAAGAACAACTGAAAGGAGAAAAAAATTGACTTAGGGCTCACCGTTTCAGAGGTCTGAGTTCATGGGTGGCTGAGTTCATTGCTCTGGGCCCCAGGTGAGGCAGAACTTCATGAAGAAGGGGATGGCAGAGGGAAGTGCTCATCTCATGGCATCCAGGAGGCAGAGAGAAAGAGAAGTGAAAAGCAACCAGAGGGAAGATGCACCCTTCCAGGGCACATCCCCAGTGACCCACCTTCCCCAGGAACACTCCACCTGCCTACAGTTACCACCCAGTTCATTCAAAGTCGGATGGACTGATCAGGTCATAGCTTTCCCAGTCCAATCCTTTCACCTCTGAATATTCCTGCATCAACATAGGAGCTTTTGGGGGACACCTCATATCCAAAGCAGAACAGTTATTATGGTTAATCTATTACCATGCCTAATTCATAAATTAAACTTTATCGTAGCTGTGCAAATATAGGAAAACAAAAAAAGTGTAGTTTATTGAGGGTTCAGTATTATTTGAAATTTCAGGCATACAATCAGGGGTCTTGGAAAATATCTTTATGGGTAAGGGGGAATAACAACTGCATAATGGGAATTCGAGTTAAAGCTAAGAAAACATCCCAAACAGATGGTCAGTATGAGAGACTATGCTAAGTCCAAGTATCAGCCACTAGAATGGAAAAATACATGAGCATAAAGGGTTTAAAATGGAGGAGGGAAATTGAGCCTGGGAGAAGGTAGAAGCCTGGGTTAATAGAACCACAATGCCTTGGGTTTGGTAGGAAAGGGTTCAATAAAACCAATAAAGTGACCAGTTCTGCTTAGAGAAGGCCTAAAAACCTCAAGTCTTCCAGACTGAAAGGTATTAGCCAAGTGCAGTGGCAAACACTTGTAATCCCAGTGGCCGGGGAAGCTGAGGCAATAGGACCTCGGACCTCAAGTTCAAAGCCAGCCTCAGCAACTCAGCAAGGCCCTAAGCAACTCAATGAGACTCTGTCTCAACATAAAATGTAAAAAAGGGTTGGGGACATGGCTCAGTGGTTGAGATCTCTGGGTTCAATCTCAGTAGCAAAACACACACACACAAAAAAAAATAATAACAACAAAAACAGACTCAAAGGTATTAAGTACACCTTATGAAACTGTAAAAAGTTCCCTGGATGCTGCAGGGAGAAAATTTAAAAAGGAAGAAGTATGGAAAGTTCTTTTAAAAATGCAGAAAGAGAAAGAGATAGATGAATTTAAAAAAAATAGAAATTGGATTTGACTTTAAAGTTACTTTTTGGGGGACTTTCGTGACAGTCATTTCAGGAATAAATTAGAATAATGAGCAAGTGGCCAGAAAAATGGCAATAATTTGCATAGACTGTAGTTAAGAGAAATTTAGCTGTCAAGGGAAGAACACAAGTAAGCCAACACATCTTGGAAGGTTGAGTGGGTGTCAGATAAAGAAGTTACTTTTTAAGTGAAGGTGACATAAATGCATGTTTATGTGTGCATAGACACATTAGAGAAAGTATGTGTATCAGGTTGAAGAGTCACTGGAAATTACAGAAAGGGTAAAGGTAAGAGAAGATCAGATAAAGATCTGGGAGGCATCCAGAAAAGATGAGCTCTAAGAAAAGTCACCTTCAGTCAACCCTTCTTAGCGAAGAGAAGAAACACCCACTAAGGCAGAAGAGGTAGAAATATAGGAAATATAACAGGTCAAGTTCAAAAACACATTTTGCATATAGATAACATCTGTTTCTAAAACTGAGAACCATTCAACTATCTGGTCGGATGCAGATTTTGCAGGTGGACCCGGTAAAATAAAGTGTGATTAATGATCTCTTTCCCTAAATCAACGGATTGTTCTTTGTACAAGGGAAAAATTATGAAGGATGGTCAAGAGCAACAATTCAGACTCAGACCCCTGAAATAAAACAGCTCAGAAGAAGGAAAACAAATTGAGGTCATGTTCATCCTTGCTAGAATGACATTTTCAGCACAGGTTGGAATATTATATGTGTACCATCCCCCCACCTCATTCAATGTCTTCCTTCCTTTTTGTTTCAAACTTTCTTATTATAAAAAATTTCAGACTTAAATTTCAAGAAATCATGAACACATATATCCTTCCCTTAGATTAAAAAAGGTGAACATTTTTGCTTTAATTGCAAATATGATGTGTATGTGTTTGTATCTCTGTATAAATTTATTTCTGAACCATTTGAAACTGGGTTACATATCATATTTAACACAAAATATGTGAGCAAGCATTTCCTAGACTAGGAACAATCATTTTAGCTTTGATATCTTTATCAAACCCAGAAATATCAAATATACATTGATATCATCCAATGTCCAGGCTACACATCCCAAATCGAGCAACAAATCCTTTCCTGATTGGCTCTTTCAAACTAGAATCCAATCAAGAATCACGCACTGCATTTAATTGTTTGCATCTTTTGTTAATTTTTAATACAATGGAACAAACCAAATATTGCACTTGGATCACAATTACTTGGGCATAATATAGAGTCTTGAATAGCAGCCTTATGAAAAACAACCATATTCCTGACTTACTGTTTCTCATGGTATTATTTAACATGTACCTGTGTCTACTGTAATTGGGAATCTGAATTAAGATCTTTTGTGTGTGTGTGTGGCATGGGGAATTGAATCCAGATGTGCCCTACCATTAAGATGCATCCCCAGACTTTTTTGTTTTTCATTTTGAGACAGAGTCTCACTGAGTTGCCCAGGCTGGCCTTGAACTTGGGATCCTCCCACCTCAGCCTCCTAAGTGAATGAGATTACAGGCATGCACCACCACGCCCAGCAAAACTAAGGTCTTGATTAAACAAAGATGTAACATTTTAGGTAAGGGAGACCCAAGGCAGTGCTGTTGCTTTATATGGCATTAGATCAGCAAGCAGACAAATCAAGCCATCCACTGTCACTTTGGCATGGCTTGATGACAGTTCTCTATATCAAAGGAAAATTCACTCTTGTAAAAGAGCCAATAATCTGTAGGGTGTTAGGCCTCCTCCAAACATTATAATTCATAACAACCTTTCATCTAATGATTCCAAAATTCATTGATGATTCTGCCTGTAATCAATTATTTCAGGATGACAAAACGGCAGTTTCTTCCACATTTATTTAGTTGGCAATCTTTTCAGTACAACAGTTCTTTCTTTAAATGACATTGTGCATCCAGGCATGATGGTGCACTCTTATAATTCCAGTGACTCGGGAGACTGAGGCAGGAGGATGTCACAGGAGGATGGCAAGTTCGAGGCCAGCCTGGGCCACTTTTTGAGACCCTATCTCAAAATAAAAAAAATTAAAGAGGCTGGGGATATAGCTCAGTGGTAAAGTGCCTCTGGGTTCAATCCCCAGCACCACAAAAAAAAAAGACACTGTAGAAATGATAAATGTTTGAGGAGATGGAAATGCTAATTAACCTGATATGATCATTACACACAACATATACTTGTATCAAATTTTTATACTATATTCCATAGATAGACATAGACATTATGTGTTGATTAAAATTTTGAAACAGGAAAATAAAGCAATGTGGTAGTCATTTGGACTATTCACCCATATCTTGTTCTGACTTGTTTTATTTCTTTCTAAGTATATGATGAGTGAATTAGTCAGCTTTTGCTTCAGTGACAAACAATCCAAAATCTTAGTGTCTCATAAAAACAAACATTTCTTGCTCACAGGTCTGTGACTTTGATGGCTTAGCTGTGGCTCTGCATCAGACATTGCATGTCTCTCAAACCACAACTCTGAAAAAAGAAGCAATGGCTCCCAGGAGTCTGCTCTTTTCTTACTGGAGAGCAGAAGAGTGCAAAGAGAGACTGAAGGTATAAGATGTCTGTTAAAACCTCTTCTGGGGACCAGCATGCTGACACTTCCACCCACACTGCATTGGACAAAGCGAATCACAAAATCAGTAAAGGGAGAAAGTGTACTTTACCCTTGGGCAAGAGCAGAAGAGAAAGCTATTTCCTAAATTTGGCAATGGTGACGTAACTTGCTTGGGCCTGTGAAACTTGAGCAGACTTGTGGTGTGTTTTCTAGCACCTTCCTTTCCCTTGCCACAGTGACCAACAGCATCCGACATTATTCTCTTGTCACTTTGCATCCCTAAGCAAGGAAGACATGGGTCAGAAAATCTGCCAAGCTGGGTGCAATGGTGCATGTCTATAATTCCAGTAACTCAGATGACTGAGGCAGGAGAATCCCAAATTCAAGGCCAGCCTGGGCAACTTAGTGAGACCCTATTTCAAATTTTAAAAAGCAGGGTGGGGGGATGCTGTGGATGTGACTCAGTGATAGAGCACCCCTGGGTTCAATTCTGGTACCAAAAGTTAAAAAAAAAAAGAAAGAAAAGATGATACGCCACTAAAGGGTGGTGCCACATTTAAATGTCAGAGGACATTTCCATTTAAGCAAAAGCTCAAACAAAAGGAAATGTATGTACCCCATAAAAGAAAAACCAGCAAGGACAGGTGACATTTCCAGTAGGTACTATTGTAATCCCTCTGGCTAGTCCTGAAATCCCTCTGGAAATTTTATGTGGTAGATCCTCTGCCTGTTTTCACTTTACAAATGGGAAAACTGAGGCAGGAAAAAGGGTTTTTGTTTTGTTTTGGTTTGGTTTTTTTACTTACCCAAAATCTTTAGAGATAGTAAGTTGCAAAGTCAGGACTCAAATCCAAGATTCTCAATTAGAATCCATTACATCATGGAGCCAGGACTCTGTCTGTGGAAAGATAAAGGATTATGCAAGACAACTGAGGTTTTATATTGCCTCTAGAAACTACTGAGGGAGTCCTCAAGCCAGTTGGGTCACTTAACCTAAATGAGTGTGGAGCAATTTTGTCGTTAAGAAGCCATAGTCTTTCCCAATACCACTTCTCCAATAACACACGGTGGCCACTGTACAAGCTCAATGGAGCATCTTGTCAGTGTACCTGTGCACACAATCTCTAGAAATGGGAAAATTATGAGATCTCAGATATCCATTCAGTATACTTTTGTAAGCACCTACTACTTTTATTGCTGTTTTCTAGGTTTTTGCTTGCTTACTTATTTTGGAAATTTAACTTACTTTACCTCTCCTTCAACTCTAGGGCTCTATTTTCCCTCCTATCCCCGCATCTCAATCTGGGTTCCAGCCCCACAGCTTGGACTGAGGTAGAAACAACTCTCTCAGCTCCCTCTGCCAATTTTCTTCAACCAGGTAATGACTGCAGGGTGCTCTGTTAACAGAGTCCACATTTCAAGGGCATTCTGCCAACTGGAGAGTAACAAATGAAAACGAAACTAATTTCATGGAAGTGAAGTATTGAGAAACCTCTCCTCTTGGCTCTCAATTTAAAACTCATGCCATTAAAACTTACTGTCTTTAGTGTTTAAACCTTTTTTATATCCAGCACACAAGTTTCAGCCAAGGACCTTCAAACATCTGTCCTGGACTTCTGCCAGGCTCTTGAGCTACTACCATGCAGTCAAATGAAGAAGGAAAAAAATGATAATAAAATTGTCATCATCCCTCTATTTTCTTTGCTTTTTGTTGATTTTTATTATTCATTTGAAGATGCGATCTGAAAGAGAATAAAAAGAACGTGGGGAGAGAGGATAAAGGATGAGGGTGACACCTCAAGAAAAAAGGCTAAGCAGACCCGAGTTAGTAGGGAACAGAAAACAGCCAGAAGAAAATCTGCAAACATCAGTCACTGTATTAACCCAAGTGACACTCACTGCTGTTCCAGAAAACTCAAAAATCCCAGTGGCGAAGCACTAAAACAAAAAATAAAATTTTGTTCACATACCAGTCAGATGTAACCATTCCTGGTCTGGTGGCTTCACTCCAAGCAGTGACTCAAATGCAATTTCCTTCCACTCAGATGGCCGTTCTGTCTTCAAGATTCGATTGCCAGCATTAGCCTTGGCATCAATATCCAGACAGTCAACAAAAGAAAAACAAAGTGGAGAAAGCACATTGTACATTTTGCTTTGTAACCACTGGGGCCCTTAAGAGACCCGTCACATCCACTCTGCCAGGTGTCAGGTCCCAACTACAAACTGGGGAGGCCGGAACAAGTGGTTGTTGTTTCTTCAAAGGGAAACACGACTTGTTGTATAAAGTTAGCTGTCTATGCACAAGAACTCTAAGAGAATTAGTCAGGATACTATCATGAGAGCCACTTGCTTTAGGGGGAAAAAAATGGCATTGGGAAGGAATTCAGAGGTCAAGATGCACAGGCTGCCATTCCTTGGATCCGTTCAGAACAGACCAGCCTAAGTCAAAACGGTGAAGTCATTCACAGAATGACTCTTTCTTATGGCTTGCTCCCCTCACATGTTCTCATGGTCACCCCAGGCTCCTCAAGCCCTGTATTTGGTGGCAATTTTGACCCATTTGCTCAGGACATTCCTAGGAATCCAGCTGGTAAAGAGTTAGGATGTCCACAGCTGAGTTGAGCCGTGTCTTCAATAACATCTGCATGTTTGTGTTCCTTATTTAATTACCTGAGGACCTTTAAAACTCTGGACCCCACACCAATGGGTTAGTCATTTAATCACAGTCCAATTTAGAAGAAATCTGACAGGCGGCTGATCCTTCGGGCACTCCTCAGATCACAGCAAAGAGCTAGCTACCTGCCATGAACAGGTGAGGTAGACCCACCAAGGAAATGCTAACACAAATAAAGCCTCTGTCATTATCACAGTGATTTATAGTTTACAAAGCCCCTTAATATTCACTTACAGATAAAAACACCATTACGAAACAGGGATAGTGGACCATCTGTTTTCCTCATGAGGAAACTGAGACTTGAGGAGCTAAATTACTTTCCCAAAAGCCCAAGGCTAGTAAGGAAGAGACTAGAGAACACAGCCAAGATACACTGACTCCTAATCTAGTGCTCTCTCCTAATTCGGAGGGGAATGGGGCCCTTCTTGGGATATCTAGTATTTTTTAACCCATATGTTACATTGCCACGTTTATGGAACACCTAAAAAACTTAAATTGAGCCAGGCATGATGGTGCCCCAGGGGCTCAGGAGGTTGAGGCAGGAGGATCACAAGTTCAAAACCAGCCTCAGCAAAAGCGAGGTGCTAAGCAACTCAGTGAGACCTTGTCTCTAAATGAAAAAAAAAAAAAAATAGGACTGGAGGTGTGGCTCAGTGCTCCAATGCCCTTGAGTTCAATCCCCAGTACCAAAAAAAAAAAAAAGAAAAGAAAAGAAACTTAAATTGAGCAACAAACATACCACTTATGATAACTTTGAAATAAATATTTACAATTTTAGAGTTCTTCTCCTTTGAGAAAATAGATGAAAGATTAGTGAAACTATGTATGATAATATTAATGATAATAAATTATAGAATCATGTTAGCCATCATATTTAGGATAATAGTAATGATTATAAATTTTACAGTGAACTCGAGATTCTAATTCCCAATTATTTTAATGCACCTGTGATAATTTCCTTGAAATAGTCACAGAATTGAGAACTTGGGACTTGCGGGGTGAAGAAATTTAGAAGTCTCTGTTTTCCAAATATCTTCCAGTTAAAAAGCAGCCTATTTATCTGTTCTCTAACCTGGTTTCATGTTTGAGATTCTTTTCCTTCTTTTCCTTTTGAGGTCTAGTACCTCCCAGTCCATGTTCAGATTTTCGTCTTGCCTGTTTTGTGAAGGTCGGTTATCTGTGGGAGAAAAGATGGCATGTTAATTGAAGTTGCACGGCTCATCTTATTGCATATACTTCCCAGCTCACAGGAAGTGTCCCACAGCTGTGGCTACTGTCCTTGCCACCCACAATTGCCAACCTGCAACCAGGTAGCTTTGGCCCTTGCCCTCCCTTTTATTTTCAATGATGGAAACAGATGGAACAAGCCCTAAGCCACAGCACTGAAAGGTGAAACAAGGCAAGGGAAGGTCTACCACCTGCCATGTGGGCTTAAAGGGGACTGTCCTTATGAGTCCAAAGACTGGAATAAATTGCCTCTCAAATCCCATATGAATCTGCTCTGCTCCACGGCAGGGCTGGGGAGGACTTATCACTAGCTCTGCTTAGGAGGAAAGCTAACTTGTTTGCTTCATTTTCCCAGATTTCTCTTTGTTCAAGATACTGTGCAGCTCTCGGCCCATATCATATCTGCCTCTTTTTCCTGTCCCCAGTTTCTCCCAACAACTATCTCATAGTCTCTGTCCTTCCTCTCCTTTTCTTAGCTCATTTTGTCCTCCAGAAATTCTTTCCTAATTATTCATGCTTGCTCATTGCTTCCTCTCAAAACTTACCATATTAAGGGTTTTTTTTTTTTTTTCCTATGATATTTTGTTGCTGTAAAATCAAGGATGAGATTATGGAACTGGAAACTATAAGCCAAATCTAGCCTGTGGCCTAGTTCTGCAAGGATCTGAGCTGAGAATGGTTTTTTTTTTTTGCATTTTTAAAGGATTGCAAATCAAACAAAGAATAATAGTCTGCAGAGACAGAGGGCCCAGCAATCTTGTAGGACCTTTATGGAAAAAGTCTGCCAGCCCTCTTCTAGACTGTGACCCTTACCTCTGGTCTCTTATGGCCATCCTCAGTAATCTTTATTATTCTTGAAAATTTCTGTCCAGTTTACTAACAGGAGTGCAACCAATTAAACAAAAAAAAAAGAAGAAGAAGAAAAAACTGGAGCCCAAGGCCCTAACATGTTTCTTCATCTGGCATGACACCACCAAAAAGTTAGGCATTTCCTTTTGTTCTAGTTGCTATTTGAGAGTAAAGTATTGGGGTCCACAAAGAATTCCTCAGACCATGGCCTTTCCATTCTCTGGGTATCAGTGCTCTACTGAGAGTCAGCACACCTGTCTCCTCAGTGCAGGGGAAAATGGAATCAGGTAAGGTACCCACGGCATGTGAAATAACAAGAAGTCATGCAGGACAAAGGTCTGAAAAATTGATCTTCTGGATGCATCTTTGGTGGTGGCGATGGATCCTCCCAAGCCACACCAAGTTAGACACTGGTTTCACTGTTTTCCCACATCGGAACAACACCTTCCCTCTGCTTCTGAATCCCCTGTTAGCAGAGTGAAGTGTGACTGGAGAGGTAAACAGCCTGGGAGGCAGTGATAGCAGCCTCCCTGGGGGAAACAGGGTATTGGCATGCTGGTTGTGCCGCCAAGCCTGACTGCATCTCGGGGACAAATATCAGAGCCATAGCATGCGGTAACAGCGTGCACGGCGAAAGCCTCCACTAAAAATTCTGACCATTATGAGAGGAAATATGCCGTCTGCCAGCCAAACAGGTGAAAGCAAAGTAACAGATAAACAATATACTGGAGCAAGTTTTATGGCCAAGACCCACCTAATTGCAGACACATACTGGGTACAGAACAATAACAGTCAGACTTAACCAGGGGCTAAGAGATAGATTGAGGAGAAAAATAGCAAAACAATAAGAGCATCAAGGGGAAAGACCTCTGTAGGCTCACAGTGTTGTTCCTACTAGGACTTAAGAAATCCATACAGTGATTTTTATTGTTTAATAAATATTTACTAAAACTATGTGAACTGGAAGGTAATGGGGAATGAGATGGATCAAACTGTTATGTACATGTATTAATATGGCATAATGAATTCCATGATGATGTGTCACTATAATGCACCAGTAAAAAAAAAGAATAAAAAGGAAAAGTGGGAAAAAATATGGAAATTGTTATCTTCCAAAAGCTCAGACAGAATAAAACCCTTGTTCAAGATCACATGGTTATATACCACAATACAAAGAACGGAGGGGTCAGGGAGCGATCCACAGGGGAGACAAAGATGGAATCAGACAGACAAGGCTTTGGTCTCAAATCTGTAACCCAGAAGCTGTGTTGCTCTGAACCTCTCTGAACCTCAGTTGGTTTGTTTCTAATGTTGGAACAAGATCTACTTTTCCAGGGGTCTTGTGAGCGCATTAGAGACTCATTCTCTAATGGGAATGGACCATGGCTGACCCTCTAGAGGGAAAGAGGAGAGACAGAAAGGAGTAGAGGTTCCAGATCCCTTGTTTTGGCAAACAGAAAGGCAAGACCAACCTGATTGTCAAGACACCAGATTTTCAGGCAGAATTACATCCTTCTTTCCGCATCCTTTTGAACAAAAGAGTAGAAAACATGCAGTTCTCACAGTCAGTCCCACTGTGACTATGGGAATCCCTGACCACAAAAAAGCATTTCAACTCTGAGGCTAAGAATTTTGCAAGTGAACCCCTTCCCCTCCATTCCTTGATGGGTATTCCAGACCCTCACAATTAAAAAAAAAATAATGGGTGCCAGGGAATAAACCCTTCTTTTCTGCCTCTAACTTTGAATTTTCTATTCTTTTGACATTATCAGTTTCCTTGAAGCTTTCTGAACACATTCATGTGACAAGAAATATTTCCTATCTGAAAATGAGAGTCAGGGAAGAAGGAAAACCAAAACAAAACACAAAAAGGAAAATGCACTTCTAAAATTTCACTGTCTCTCTCTGCAGGAGCTGCTGGGGAACAGCTCCCGTCTGTGAAGTC